GCCCAATGTGTAGCACTTGATTGTGAATTATCTAGGTTTACTACACCACATTCTCGAACTCTTGGAGAATGTGGAAGTAAATCTCTCATAAATACTCCTCGAAAATTTGGGATATATTTTTGAGCAAAAGTTATAATGTCTATATTTGATTTTCTTTTATTTATTGAATCTACTCTTAATTTTGAGACCAAGTTAACGAATCTTAAGTTGACGAATCTTAACAATAAAATTTAACTAACAGTATACTAAGACTGCATTCTGGTGGCGCGTCCCTCAGGTCGGTCGTTGGGTGGGTATGTCATTGCGACGAAGGCGTGATTGGTTGCTCAACCTTGTTAGACCTCTCGCCAGGTGGTTAGGGTGCACCGATAGCTTGGTGAAGTACCTTTTACCTTCTGTTCTGCGATCACTTCTTTGACTGGTAAAATGTTTTGTGATTGTTCTCAAGATCTTCGACTGATCTCTCTGAACAATGTCAATGTTGCTATTGCTGGCGTAACCCCATTCGGAGCAGTACATCCATATAGGTTAGTCTAAAAGGTGACCGAGCATTGATAAGCCAATCAAGGCTGCTGGCTTTAGGTGTGTTCTTTTGTGTCAGCGCCATGTGAGTCTTCTGTCAAGATGTATTCTTAGGTATGTTACTCCGTTTGCTTGTGGGAGTAGATTGTTGTTTAACGTAATCGGCGGGCAGTTCAGAGTGAACGTAACGTGCTTGCACTTAAGTTCGTTCATTTTAATTCGCCAGTCTGATAGCCATATTTCAACATCGACGATGATGTTGTTAGTCGTGCGCTTGTCGGGAGGTCTGCTGTGTAGAGGACATATAATATTGGCCTTAGCACGCTACCTTGAGAACTTTAGGAGAGGTGTTGTGCAATTGGTTTTTTTCCATTTGGGGAAACTCTTGACCTGGAGGAACTATTAAATGGTTACCCTTGATGGCACTTATATAGGTTATTTTTGAATACAAGCATGTTTTTAATGATTTATTGCGAATCCAAGAACGGTGTTTGGTGCTCTCCTGTTTTTTAAGCAAGCGCTCCATCGTTTTTAGTTTGTCCTTTTCTCGCCTTTGATCTGCATTAGTTTTCGTTTTTGTAATTTCAGTTAGCTTTTTGAATTTCCTCCGCCGTCTGTGGCTTTTCTCTTTCTTTGTAACCGGTTGGAAGAGCAATAAGCTTTTCAACGAACCCACTTATATTCGTGTCCTGTGTTCGTTCATACAAAGCACATTGACGAGCTGTCATAAATTTGGGGTCTTTGATTTTCTTTAGTTCCTCATCAACATCTTCTAGTTTTCCAGTTTCTATTGCAGTAAGCCATCGTTTTTCGACACTGGAAGTACTACTATTGCGGAGTTTTTTAACTTTTTGTATGCCAAGGTTTGACGAAGAGACCCCTTTTTCTGATTTTTTTGTGCAAATATTTTTCGTGCTGTGAAATAGAGATATTTAGTTAAGAGTAGTCCGTAAGCAAGAATTTAGGTTAATTTAAGGAATAGTTAAGACACACGAAGGGCACTACGATTTAAGTTAATTTAGACCCACGGAGGGCAATTAGACTTACGTTAGTTAAGACCCACAAAGGGCACTTGTACATACATAGCTAAGGCGTAGCAAAAGCCCGTTAGGCTTCACCGCCAGACAACATCGCCCGCAACATCCTAACAGATGGCGCCCGAACAGGGACTAGGCAGAACTAGGCAGGATAATTCCACCCTTCATGGCGTAAAGAACCATCAGGGAAATTTAGGTCAAAATTCGAGGCTGGGGACGAAAGGCTAGGAGAGTACGCACGTTTTGCAGCGGGGCGAAGCAGAGCAATAAAGAGTGAAATAGAGGGAAGCGTAGCCACGTGGAGATAACGGCTAGCAAGGCCAACGGAACACTCCCAAGATACCCTGATCCGGCTCGGGGAGATGGAACGCAAGATGGAAACGCTCCCTCCGCAGACACCAAGCCACCATCGCCGCTACCGCCCAAGCAATAGACACACGCTGACCATACCAAACAGCACTTCCCCGTCCCCAGGGACGCGAAGAAAATTAGAGGGCACAGTACGCACCGGAGCGCCCCAGTACGATGCCGGCATCTGTTCGATGTTGATTGACAAAGTGACCAAACGGGGGCTGTCCTTCGACGGCACCTCGGACCCGCTAGAACACAGCGAAGAACGGGCGCATACCCACCGGATTGACCGTGAATGTCGCACGCTATCATCGTCCTCATGACTGGCCGGGCGGAGAATTGGTTCCGAACCAGTGGTCTGCAGGGACGGACCTGGACCGAAGTTCGTCGGGAATTCTTGGACTTCTTCCTACCGTCCCGGTAGAGTACCTGGTAGACCTCCGCCTTCAGATGCGCCGCGCTGGATTCTCACCGGAGCAGGAATTGGAACAGGGCACTCACTATTGAGTGCTGCAGGAACCAGACGCCGGGAAACGGGCAAGGGCCTCGGGTATCAGGGAGTCACCTTTGGAACCCACGGAACTCCAGGCGCATCCACAAGCCGCCTCACAGACACATCCATCACCCGCCTCACAAGCGCATCCATCGGTCACCTCACAGACGCATCCACAAGCCGCCTGACAGGCGCACCCATCGGTCACCTCACAGACGCATCCACCAGCCGCCTCACAGGCGCACAGGAACGCCCCACGCAATGTCACCCACGCAGACACACGCACGGCTCCAAGCTGGCTTGGAGCACTGCCCCTTCCCGACGCATCAGCAGTCCAACACAACCCATTTCGCCAACCGGTAAGGAGAGTCCGTTTCAGAGACCCGGAACCATCGGCACCCTCCTGCGGGGTCTCTTACGCCGAGTACGACGCCGAGGAAGAACAGAGACCCAGCAACCACGAGGAAAACTACCCGGAGACCCAGATGCGCGCCCACCGACGATGGATAGATCCCAGTGGATCACCGGATCCAGGAGCGCCTCCAGCTGCAAGGAGACCGGGACCTCCGCTTCCTGATCGAGGTCGTGGAAACGAGGTACCGGGTCCAGGTAATGCGTGGCGGCCACGGGGTCAGGGCCCTCCCCTTATCCCCGACGAAGGGATGGGATGTGAGGTAACCCTTACGCGGCCCCGCCACCCCTAGAAATGGAGATATTTAGTTAAGAGTAGTCCGTAAGCTAGAATTTAGGTTAATTTAGAGAATAGTTAAGACCCACGAAGGGCACTCCGATTTAAGTTAGTTTAGACCCACGGAGGGCAATTAGACTTACGTTAGTTAAGACCCACAAAGGGCACTTGTACATACATAGCTAAGGCGTAGCGAAAGCTCATTAGGCTTCACCGCCAGACAACATCGCGCCCGCAACATCACGTTGCCCCGCAACACCACGCCCGCAATCACAACCGGAAGAGCCAACATTACACCGGCAGAGCCAACATCACACCGGCAGAGCCAACATCACATCGGCAGAGCCAACCAACGCGCACTGATCACACCACGTGACGCCGGCACAGTAAAGCTAGAGAGAAGAGGACGACGACAGCTCGCACGAAGACAGCGAAAGGGCCGCTGCCGCGGTCGGCAGCAGAGAAGGGCCTCCAGCAGCTCCCCGCTGCCCGCCGATCGGGGGAGTCGGTTTTGTGAGTTGAACGGGAGAAGTCGTAATCTCGGAGAGGAGGAGCAGCTAGACGACCCCGGAAAACATATGGCAAGCGGACATGGAGGAATAATACGGCCAAGGGCCAATCCCAACTGTGGGATGCCAGTGGTGCGCGGGGTAGGAAAACAACGTAGAGATAGGTTAGAACTTAGGTTAGATGCCAGGTTAAAATGCCAGGAACATTACAAGAACTATTCGGCTCCCAATTATTCTCCCAAAACCCAGTCACTAGAAAACGCGCGGGGAACGGTGTTCTTCTCTTTCTCTCCTCCTTTTCCCTCCCCCCCCCGTTGGGGGCCGGAACCGCCTTTCCCCCTAGCTCTCTTCCCCTTTCCCCTTCTCCGTCGTTCGTGGCCTCCCGCGGGGTTGGGCCGCGGGCGCCCGGCCGACCGCCCGCTGGGTTTCCTTTTCGTGGGTCCTGGATCCCCCCCCCTTTTTCTGGCCCCCCCGGTGGCCCACCGGGGCGGGCACCGGATTTCGGTTTCCTGGGGGTCGGGCCCCCCCTTTTCCTGCCTTTCTCACATTTTTTTAGGGTATTTCTGTGGCGGATTTTCCGCTCCCTGCCAGTTTTTAACCTTTTAGTTGTTTAGCTAAGGGGAAGCTTAAATATCATTTGGGCTATACATTTAAACAGAGCATAAAAGGAATTTAGTCTCTAATTTTTTAAAAATAAGAAAGTTGCCTTTATATAAGGCTTTATTTAAGATTTAATTAATATTTTAATATTTAATAATTATAAATTTTAAAATAATTTAAAAAAAATTTTAAAAAAATAATTTTATTTTTTTTTTTTTTTGTTCCTGTTACTACCTACACCACTAAACACAACCCTGAAAATGTGTTGTCGTTGAGGCGAATAAAAATTTTAATAACCAACTAAAAAAACAAAAAAAAACCCCTTATTCGTTCTCGATTTTGTTTTTGACTTTAGAAAACAAAAAAAAAAAAAAAAATTTTGTTTTATTTTGAAAAAAAAAGAAAAAAAAAAAAAAAAACAAAAAATAATAAAAATAAAGTTAAAAATAAATTAAATTAAAATTTTCTGTTTTTTAAACTCTCTTTGAAAATATTTTTTATTACGGTCGTCTTGTGAAGTGCGGAGTTGCCTAAACCGCCCCCCCACGCGTAGGTCAAAAAGAAGAACTTCAAAGTCTATGGCGTACGAACCGTTTTATTCTGTAAATTCATTAAATTTAGCCTCACATTACAAATCTTACTCTTACTCTAACCTTACCGCAGTGTGCCCTCCTACTATTCACAAGACAGTGAAAAGGCACTTTTCGGCGGCATTCACATAACCGCGATTAATAAGCCCGTACTTCAATGGGCCAAAAATCGGATAACTTAAAAATACCAAATTTCCTATTAATACTGACTTAACTATCGATAACAATGTTTTGACCGTCGACATCCCCGACCCCGTGAAGACCCGCTTCACTCAAATCTAAAACTGCAAGTTTAGAGACGGGCCGCAACATTGTCCAAGATAGTCCATTATCATTTACGCGCACAGTGGCGCGTCTGACGACTCCATCAGCTCCGCTGTATACCTCCTCCACGATGCCCTTGCGCCACTCTCGTCTGGGTAAGGCAGACGAAGACCATATCGACCTGGCGGATAGGAACCGTTCCCCGGCACCACTTCTCGCGGCGCACAAGCGTAGGCAGGTACTCCATGACCCACCTCCTCCAGAAGCGGTCCCGCAGCATGCGGGCAATCCTCCACTGCTTTCGCGTAGAACCCTCCTTGGGCCGCTCCACATCCCATCCGGGCGTATCCGGCAGGTTAGCTGCTCCCTTGAGCAGGTCGTTTGGCGTCAACGGCGCCTCTTGGTCCGCATCCAGTGGCCTCTATTAGGAGACTCTCCAAAACATGGTCCCTCGGCGCGACTTCCTTCAGGGTATGGCGCAGCACTCGCTTGACGCACTGCACCATCCGCTCCCATACTCCGCCCTCAGACGGGTTGGATGGGCAATTAAAGACCCATTCAATGCTCCTGCTGGATAACTCACTCTGTATCCTTTCCGTCTCGAACACGTCTCCAAATCGCCTGGCCTCCCTGTCAGCTCCCACAAAGTTCTTGCCGTTGTCACTCTGCAGTTTACGTACTGGTCCTCTACGGCAGACGAAGTTCCTGATCTCTATTATGCAGGAATCCGTTGACAGGTCATGCGCCAGCTCCAGATGAATCGCCCTTGTCGTCAACCATGTGAACAAGGCGACCCAACGCTTCTCTCTGTGACGAGCAGCAGTGGCCCAAAGTAGTCTAGTGCTGTGTACTTGAATGGCCATCCTCCAGCTTCCAAGCGATCCTCTGGAAGGGGTCCCATTATCGGCGGCATCGGCCGCGTCCGTTGTAGCTTGCATTCGTTGCACGACGAGATTACCTCCTTCAGCACTCGTCTTATCTTCGTGACCCAGAATCTCGTCCGGATCTGGGCAATCGTCGCATCCACGTTTTGATGCTTCATCTGGGCGTGGTAGTGTCTTACTACCATCTCCGTAAGACTGTGCATGTGTGACAGTATCACAGGCCTCTTCGCACTGTACGGCATGGACAGCGCGGCATCGACTCTGCCATAAACTCGCAGAACTCCATATTTGTCCACGTAAGGCGCCAGACTTCGAATCTCGCTCGAGTTGGCGACGTCCTTTCCGCGTTCCGGGGACCTCATCTCGTCGGGAAACGACTCCAATTGGGCCTGACTGATTAACAGGTTCTCCGCGGCCTCACACTCCTTTGCAGTGAGTCCATATTCCTCGAGCTCGCTTCTCTGTTTGCGGCACCGTCGCGCAAACCTCAGGACCCAGGCGGTGGTCCTCACCAGGCGACTGAAGCTCGAGAATCTCTGGAACAGGATGACAAATTCATTCGATTCTACCAATGCGAACTCACCGGGCATCTACTCTTCATCAGGTGCATCTGGAACATGCTCGGTTCCCTCCTCAGGCGTTGGCCAACCGCTTGCTGGCTGCCTCAATAATGCGGGACCGCTTAGCCACCGGGATTCCGGGCTAAGGTCCGCCTTGCTCTGCGACCGCGTCGCATCATCCGCTGCGTTGTCAGCTGTAGGTACCCATCTCCACTGGGAAACCTTCGACGACTCCAAAATCTCCGCCACTCAGTTGCCAACAAACTGCTTATACCGGCGGTGGGTGCTGCACCGTTTTTGAATCCGTCCATAAAACCGTCTCGCTGATGTCCACACTGTGTTCTTCCTTGACAGTGTTCATCACTCTGGTTCCAAGGACCGCTGCCTGCAGCTCCAGCCGTGGGATGAACATCGTTCTCATCGGCGCACACTTCGTCTTTGCGCACACGAAGCTAACCAGCACGTTGCCATTCTTGTACGTGACCCTCCAATAGGCCACCGCCGCGAATGCAGATTGACTTGCGTCCACGAAAACGTGTAGCTCGATGGTCCAAGCTGCTCCACGCCCAAAATAGTGGCGAGGACATCGGAACTGCCCCACGGCGTCCACCTCTCTGCGCCAGGCAGCAAAGGCTCTGCCTATCTCCTCCGGTAGCGGTTCGTCCCACTGGATCTTCTGCCTCCAGATCTCCCGCAGCAACAGCTTTGCTGTAATTATCAGGCAGCACAGGAACCCCAATGGGTCGAACGTTGACATCAGCAGGCTCAAAAACTCCGTCTTTGTTGGGACTCGCTCTCCACTTAGGACGCTTTTTGGCACTCGATGATACTCCACGTCATCCGTTGCTACCTGCCAACGCATTCCAAGGATTTTCTGCTCAGACTCTCCCCATCCGACGCTCTTGACTTGTCCAGGTGGTCCCAACGCCGCTTCCACGATGGGTGAGCTGGATGAGAACTTGCATAGCTCGAATCCAGCCTCCGCGTGTATCTCCTTCACTCGGGTAGATACCTCAATAGCTTCGCTCTCCGTATCGACACTATCCACGTAGTCACCGACGTAATGGTGGTCGATGATGGCCTTGACTGGCCTCGGATCTGAATCCCGAAACTTCAGGGCATTCACCGTCTTGACGTAGTGCGCAGTGCTCGGCTAGCAGGCTGCTCCAAACGTCATTACGTTCATTTCGTATACATCTGGGTCACGATCATCGTTACCATCTCTCCAAAGGAATCGTTGGGAACATCGATCCTCGGGTCGGATCAGCACTTGGTGGAACATCTCCTTGATGTCCCCGCAGACTTCGACTGCTCCTTCTCTGAAGTGGAAGAGCACAGCTGGCAAGGGCTTGTAGTGCTGTGGCCCCTTGTCCCGCGCCGAATTGAGTGAGGTTCCTCCAACCTTGGCTGCAGCATCGAACACAAGCCGGACCTTACCGGGCTTGTTTGGGTTTTCCACACCAAAATGTGGCAAATACCACAGCTTGTCGCTCTTCACCGCGACCTCATCCGGCTGCAGCTTCCTTGCATATCCTTCGGAAACCTAATCCTTGATGATACGGTCGTATTCCAGGGCCAACTGCCCGTTGCGCTTCAACTTCTTCTTCCAAAGCTTTTCAAGTCGAAGTAGTCCTCCACCATCTTTTCCATCGTGTCGTCCATTGACACGGCTAGAAGGCAGGACCTCGGTGACGGCGTAGTTGACTGTCCACTTACTGGCCCGAACACAACCCACCCAAGCTCGGTTGCGGCCGCATACGGTCCCTCTCTGGCAAACCGCATCGTCCTAAGTGGCAATCCCAGATGACCATGGTCCAGTCTGATTAGCAACTTCGGCACCACGTTGCTGTAGGGCTTCATCGGCAGTCGCGAATCCCTTTGCACGCCCTGGACATCTCGTCGACTTAACGTTTGCATCGGCAGACTCAAGTTTGAGACGGCGTACACGTTCCTCAACGGGTGGCGAGTGGGCTTCCCAGCTCCACTTATCTCCAGACTCACCACGTTGGTAGGCTCCCTGCTGGCTCTTCCTCCAAACCATTGGATGTTCAGCTGATGATGTTCGCCTTGCAATCCCAGATCCCTCCGTAGCTCGTTGTCGATCATCGTGACGGAGGATCCTTCATCTAACAGCGCGTATGTGTCCACCTGGCGACCAGCTCCGTACAGCGTTACTGGCAGTATCCGGAACAAAATTCGGCCTCCTTCGACGTCAATACTTAAATTAGTCTGCACGGCCGCAGCCGCTGGCTGAGGGGCCCTTCTCTCCAGGTTGTCTCTGAGAACAGCCGGCTGCTGGCTCCTCTCGTGGTCCCTGTAACCACCTCGTGGCGAAGACCTCCTTTCCGGGCTGCGTCTGGAAACAGCTGACATCTGGTTTCCTCCGTTGTGGCGCCTGAAGCCACCTCGCTGTTCCGGCCTTCTTCGCCTTTCGTCCTCTTCATGTAGCAGACGGTAATGCAATCTGCGGCATCCGTTAATCTGGCACTCGCCATGCACATCGCAAGATTTGGTCGTATGCCCACTCCGTAAGCATGTGAAGCAGAGCCGATGCCTCTTCACCATGCTCCACCTGCCCGGTGGCGAAGCTCCGATGAACTCCCTGCAGTTCGTCGTGGCATGTTGCCCTCCACAAATTGGACAACCTCTATGCCGGTCATCCCGCTGCTCGTATCCGTCCTGGTCGACACTCGCGTGTAGAACTCGACACCTCGGCTCCTTTCCCTCGACGTCCAAAATCGTACACACGATGTTTGCGTACTCCTGTAGCCACACGCTGAAGTGCGCTACAGTGGGAAAGGGCTCGATCGATGCAGCGTGCCTGGCCCAATCCACTCGTTTGCTGGTGGGAAGCTTTGCCACAAGCTCCTCCATGAGGGTGGGGTTTCCAAGATGTTGCTCCGCCTTCGCCGACTGCAAGAAGGCCGTGAGGTTACTCACTCTAGTTGCGAAGGGGACGATCCTCGCCAGGTTCTGCTCAGTAATCGGCGGCACCTCTCGCACGCTGTTCAGCTGGCTGCGTATGAGCTGCTCCGGTCGGCCAAACCTAAAGCGCAACTGCTCCATCACGGCTCTGACGTTCGCAAGGTGAATCAGCAGCGACTTCACTGTCTCGCGTGCTTGATCTTTCAGCGCCTTTAACAGCCTCTGGCTGTCGTCTCCTCAAATGCACAATTAAAGATAGGCCAATCCTCGGGCTGCCCTCCAAATATAGGCAAGTCCGGGAGCCTCCTTGGCCCATTCGCTCTTTGGGTTCCAATCGGTGTCATCGAGGCGTAGGATCCCACAAATGGCGATGCAGTTGCCACGTTGTGGATGCTCCTGCCCGGTAGCACGAATCCATGCGCTGTCTGCGCAGCACGTGTAGCACACAGTGGGTTGCTGGTCGTTAGCAACGGTGGTCCACTCCAAGATGGCGGCAGTATGTAGGCCGCACTGCTCGCACCGACACTGCTATGTGGGACCGGCCCGACCCCGTTAGTTGGGGCCTCACCGTTCGATGTGACTAATGGCGGCCCGCGCCAAGATGACGGCCGCCCCGACGCTCCACTGTTGGCGCCATTTGCGCTTGGGCGAACTGCGATTGGCGCGCAATTGGCGGTACTCGTTGGGTTCATGGCTCTAACCTGCTTCAGCTCATTCTCCAACGCCGAGATCCTATCCAAAAGGTACGCTCTGAGCTTGCAGCTGCTGTTACAGTACTCCTTGGTCGGGACGCTACTGTAATCGTTGTAGTGGCTGGGCGAGAAATGGCCGCCGCCGTGGTTATGTTAACCCCTGGCCGGTTTTCTGCTACACTAATCGCTGGCTGCTGCGTTGTTGTAGGGGTGGCTTCCCCTCCGTTCAGCCGGGAACTCCTCCTGGGCGAACGCTGCACCTCGAAATAGATATGGTCCAAATATGGCGCTGCCCTAGCGCTCCAAAATGGCGGACCTGTGCCGTCTGGCTGCTGCCGCTGATGCTCGGCGCTCCTTGCGCCTCCTGACCTGACGCTGGCTGCGTCTCCTGAACTGACGCCGGCTGCGTCTCCGTGTCGCTGGCTGCGACTCCGTCCGTACACAGTGTTTGGCGCTCCTTGCGCCGTCTATGTCGCTGGCTGCGACTCCTCTGCTGGTACGGGAAATGCGCTCCGTGCGCTCCTGGCAACTCTCTAGCTGGTCGTCAAGCCGTCCTCCAGCGCAAGTTGCCCTTGCAGTCTCCCTAGGACTGCGAATAAAAGATGTCGTCTTGTGAAGTGCGGAGTTGCCTTAAACGGCTCCCCCCACGCGTAGGTCCAAAGAAAGGTGAACTTCAAAGCGTACGGAACGGAACGGAGCGGGTTTTATTCTGTAAATTCATTAAACTAATTAGTTTACAGAATCTTAATCTTACTCTTAACCTTACCGCAGTGTGCCCTCCTACAATTCACAAGACAGTGAATAAAGGCACTTTTCGGCGGCATTCACATAACCGCGATTAATAAGCCCGTACTTCAATGGGCCAAAAATCAGATAACTTAAAAAATACTAAATTTCCTATTAATACTGACTTAACTATCGGTAACAATGTTTTGACCGTCGACATTTTCAATTTCCTTTTTTAAATTTTTTATTATATTTTATTTTGTTTTATTTAATTTTTTTTTTTTATTTATTTTTTTTTTTTTTTTTTTTTAAAAAAGCATTATTTTTTTTTTTTTTTTTAAATTAAAAAATTGTATAGTTTTTATAAAATAAAATTTTTTTTGAATTTATTTGTGTAAAAAATTAAATTAAACAAAAATTAATTTAAAAAATTTAAATTTATATTAATATTTTTTATTTTATTTAATTTTTTTTTTTTTTTTAAGTGTGTAAAAGAAATATTTTTTTTTTTTTTTTTATATAGTAAAAAAAATAAAAATTTTTTTTTTTTTATAAAAAAATTTTTTTTTTTTTTTTAAATTTTTTTTTTTTTATTAAATTTTTTTTTTATTTTATTTTTTTTTTGTTTTTTATTTTTTTTTTTTTTTTTTTTTTTAATTATTAATAAAATTTTTTTTTTAAAAAAAT